GCTGGTTATCTGAATCAGGTGTGTTAACTAAGCGAGACATGCAACATATGCAGAGCGGGGGGGCGCGAGGACTGGAATTGGGAACCGCTGGGCTACATCATGTGTCATTCACCGGCGTGCATGAACGTGCTGATGACGTATCCTGTCTGCGCGAACAAGGTGCGCAGAGGTATGCAGATACATACGTTGACAGGCAGGTAGGAAAGCCAATTAAAACGCTCGGACCGAGCGTTTTGATTGGACGAACATTTCTTGGTCCTACGCTTTACACAAAATATTTAAATACAGGTAAATACATTTAGACCACTTAACTTAATGATTGCTATCGGGATGTGTAGAGACTTTCAACCAGCATAACAAAAAATGTTTCTGAAGACAATCACCTATTGAACCTTTCAGAATTAGCCTTTCATCTGACACAAAGCATTCTGAATTCACACATTCCTACAGTCACATGTTGGACGTTTAATTGTATGACTGTGTTAATGCCTGCAATTTGTTTTCATTATTTATTTCAAAGATTCAATAACTGCTTAAACTGATTCATTCTAATAATGAGTATGTGTTCTGATCACTTTGGGTTCAGGTTTTGGCTCAGAAGATCACAGATTTCCCTCTGCCTGATCTGGTGCGTGTGGTAGAGCAGTCTGATCAGGTAGAGCTGGGACGCCTCCTGCAGCTCATCCTGGGGTGTGCAGTCAAATGTGACAGGAAACAAGGTAGTTAAATGGATAGTTCACCCAAACCTTAAAATGTTGTTATTTACTATCATTATGTACAGCTATTTTCCTGGTGATGCATATATATTTCATTATTTTAACCTTGTGAGATTGTTTTGTTGTTCAGATTATGTCCAGATTATCATGACTTTGGAGGAATCTGTACAGCATGTGGTGATGACTGCTATTCAGGAGGTCAGATTCATTTTATTCAGGTGTTTTTAAGTGGTCATATATATATATATTCTTTAAAAAAGAATAAAATGAATTTCAAAGCTTTTTGTATTGATTACAGCTTATGAGCAAGGAGACTGTGTCTCAGTTAGGAACAGAATATCCTGGAGATGTTGAAAAACGGGTAAGAAATACAGACATATAACATCATCACAGTGTCAGTGTGAGAAAGTCAGTGTTGATATTGTTGTTAAATGTAGTATATTGTAGTATTGTTCAATGATGCTGTTTTTTTGGTAGTTAAAGAAAGCCTTGGAGGATCTGACTGAAGTCATGGCAGAGAAAGAAGAGTTGGCACAGCGCTGTCAGGAGCTCGACATGCAGGTGAGGGGTTTGTATTAACAAAGATACAATAATATTAGGAATGTTAAAAGTCAAGTCACAAGTTATATACAGTAATACACAGATTTCAAAGGGCCTTACAGTAATAAACAGAAAAATAAGTGTTAAAATTCCTCAGTAATAAAATGACTTCAATTTCAGTTGTAAATCAGCTCTACAAAAAAAGCAATGTCATTATTCAGTTCAATTTAGTTGATTCAATTCAGTTCTATAACCGTGTCATAGTAGCAAATTTTATAAGTTATGAACTCAATTCTGCTATAAAGCTGCTTGACAACTATTGATACTTTTGTGACAGACTTAAGTAAGATTGTGGCAAAAATTGTTCATGCATCGAAACCAAAATGGCACATAAATATTATTACTATTATTACTTGTTTTAGATATGAATATACACAGGTGCTGAAATATTTACAAGCTGCCTACATAAAAAAAGGCATTGGTCAAAGAAATCCAGAGACAGCATTTGTTTAAGTGGCTGTGGTTGCAGACTGTAAGTGTCAGTGAACAGCATTTCTGGTTTCTGCTGTTCTGTTCATTCACCTTCATGGATGAACAGATTTTGCCTATAAGTGCAAGTATTTTTTGTTTGTCTCTGCAGAGGCTGTGTTTTAGCTTTACAAATAAATAATCTGTCATGTACAGTATTTCATGAAATTTTTAGTTATCTATTTTCCTTTTGGAAATTGTTGTAATATAGTACATTTAAAGGTCATTTGCAGGATTTGAACTGCCATGTTAATTTTCCTGTGCACATAAATGGGTTAGAAATTAATGTGTTGCTGATTCTTGACAGATTAAGTTGTAAAAGTATCCATGACCTATGAGAGGTAAGTCTAAACAAATGCATGGCAACCTAGCCTAACTAAAACTAAAACACTGCGTTGCCACTAACCAATCTAACCACTGAAAAACTTTTGGGTTTTGTGTGGCAAAAAGAGCTCATGGATTCAGTGCTGAAATTACTGGGTTATATATTGGCGCACACTCTAAAACAAGAATAATATGCATTTGCTGTTGGGGTGTGAGAGGTTTAACAGGCTTAACATTAACAGCGGATTTGTTTAATTTAATTAGCAAATTAAATATAAAACTGCATCAATTTGGAGTTTATGTGTATACACACAACTGTACTGGATAAATTATTTAATGTTTAGTTAGTTTTGAAAGTGTTTTTTTTTTTTTTAAACTGGTTTATTTCCTTTTGTGGTAAGTAGTGGGGCAGCACAATGTTTTTAAATGCAAATCTAGTTGTAATCTGTTATAATTCAATATAATATCATTTTTCAAAAATCTTTACATCATGCTCTATATATACACTATCATTCAAAAGTTTGAGGTCAGCAAGATTTTTCAAGAAAGTAATTAATTTTTTCAGCAAGGATGCATTAAATTGATCAAAAGTGACAGTAAATTTATCTGTATTTTATGTATCACATGTTCCACAAAAATTTTAATGTAATAAGAAGTGTTTCTCAGCATATTCAAATGGATTCTGAAAGATCATGTGACGTGAAAATACAGCTTTGCCATCACAGGAATAAATTACATTCTAATATAGACTATATTAAAATAGAAAACAAAAATTTTAGTTTTAAATTGTAATAATTCGTACTGTATTTTGATCAATTAAATGCAGCTTTGGTGGGCATAAGATACTGACCCCAAACATTTGAACGGTAGTGTACATTATACAGTACAACCCTACATACAATCCTATGTTCAAATATGCCATACCTGTTGTATGTACTATATGTCATACAATACATGCCTTGACATAGTAAACATCAGGTTTTCCAGAAAGCCCTGATGTTTGACCTTTTTGCCATTTAAACAGGTGACAGTGCTACAGGAGGAAAGGAACAGCCTCCTCGCAGAAAATGACCTCTTGACTGATCGAGCCAGTCAGCTTGATACTTCTGAAGACCCCAGCACTCCATCAGGGAGGAAGCAAAGCCAGCTACAACTAGAGCTAGAGCAGCTTCAGGAGGAGAACTTCAGGTAGACACAGTGTAACGTTCCAAATATTGTCTGAAACTTGCTTGATTTTAACTTGCTGATGTTCTGAATATTGTTGTGGATGCATAAGTAGACAAGCATTGAAATAATAAACCAAGCGTGGGTAGAATGTCTTCGTTTGAAATAGCATGCAGTGTAAATAATGAAAGTGTGTGTATGTGTGAAATAACCAGGCTTGAGGCAGCTAAAGATGATTACCGCATCCACTGTGAAGAGCTGGAGAAACAACTAGTGGAGCTTCAGCATCGCACCGATGAACTGACCAGCCTGGCTGAGGAGTCGCGATCACTTAAAGATGAATTAGACATATTAAGGTGTGTGCTGGGTCATATTTTAACAAGTAGTTTTTGCCAGCATCCTCTTTGGGTGTTTTGGGAAGGCTCTATGATGGATTTGTTTGTTTAGGAGCTGCTCTGACAGGGCAGTCAAGCTAGAGGCCTCTGTTGAGACGTACAGGAAGAAGTTAGAAGATCTAAGTGACCTCAGACGGCAAGTGAAAGTTCTGGAGGAGAAGAATATGACCTACATGCACAACACAGTCAGCCTTGAAGAGGAGCTACGCAAAGCTAATGCTGCAAGAGCTCAGTTAGAGACATACAAGAGACAGGTATAAACGTGCTAGCAGTTTTATTTTTAGGAATTCTGAGAAAGGTGATGAGTGAAATATGAGGTAAAAGATAAACACTACATTGTTTTTGGAACTTCAGGGTCAGGAGCTCCACAGGAAACTGTCTGATGAGTCCCGTAGGGCTGATAACCTGGCTTTCGAGATGAAGAAATTTCAGGAGAAATATGATACTTTACTAAAGGAGAAAGAGGTAGACTGACATATTCACCTGCAATTACTCATACACATGCCAAAACCTTGTGACCATTGTGTTTGTGTGTGATTCATCAGAGGATCAGCATTGAGCGGGACACTCTCAGAGAGACTAATGAAGAGCTGCGATGCACTCAGGCCCAACAGGACCAGCTATTACAAGCAAGTATGTTTGCAGATACCACACCTGGCGATGGTGCCATGTGCCGCTAGGAAAAGATTGCATTTGAATGAAGACTGTTGCTCACAGACATGAATCAGTGCAGGCGGGCTCTGCTGAGAGCGATAACAGTCCCTCCACTCCTGTGATTCGTTTGGCGTGGCCAATTTAAATTCAAGCAAATCTGCTAGTTCAGAGGCAGTACAACCTGTTAGATTTATATTCCGACCACAGTGCAGCCTTGAGCCCAGCTCAAGTGATCTGTCTGGGTCACTTCACAGCTCAGTAAACACAAACTGAAAATGTAGTTTAGAAGATGGTATTAAACTTGAACGTGTGCTTATTTCACACTTCACAGGAAAGTATCAAACAGGAAGTCCAAGCCATGATAACCTGGCAGCTGAGATGTTGCCCATTGAGTACAGGTATGTTATATATAGGAAGTAAAGCATACAGATTTGCACATTTTTTCCTAATTTTAAATATGGATTTTAAAATGCCATTTATTCCTGTAAGGGTAAAGTAGATTTTTTTTTTAACATCTATTACTCCAGGCTTGAGTATCACTTGATCATTCTAATATGCTGATTTGGTGCGCAAGTAACATTTCTTATGATTATCAATGTTGAAAACAGTTTTGTGGAAACTGATCTTTTTTTAAGATTCTTTGAATGGAAAGTTGTGATTAATTTTGTTCAGAATTGTCTTCATATTTGGTAGTCTGATCAAATAATGAGTGAAGAAGGAGATGGTTGTGTTTACTACTGTTTTTAATATCACACTTCAAACAGAAGGTGAATAGCAAGACTAGTATTCTGAACCTAATGTCTTTGTGATTCGCATACATCTAGAGTGCATATAAAATCTTAGCTGTCATTGTAGTATAAATACATGTATTTTGTATATGTTGATGTGTATTTCTGCTTCTCCAGGGAGAAGTTCATTCGTCTGCAGCATGAGAACAAGATGTTGCGGCTGCAGCAGGAGGAGTCCGAGAACGAGCGCATAACTGAGCTGCAGGAGCTGCTGGAGGAGGCCCGGCGTGGACGCAGCCAACTGGACACTGAGAACAGGTACAGATTGACATAATATATCAAATGTAAACTTATCGAACCATACAGTAGCTTTTCTACATATGAACATGTGTTGTTTATGTGTATTAAGGTTAAACAGAGAAAGAATCAGTGAACTCCAGCAGCAGGTAGAGGATCTGCAGAAGGCCTTGCAGACACAAGGAGCCAAACCTGAAGATGTAAGTGTGTTTGCACCACTTGGTGGTGCTGTTTTTGCCCATTTTTTGTCAGTGATACATGAGCATGTGCTTTGTAAATTATCTAGTCTTTGATTTCATTCTGGAAGTAGTACTTTTCATTAAAAAGTCGCATTTTATGTTTGCTTTCATACAGTCTCATCTGAAAAGGAAGCTGGATGCTCATATGTAAGTTTAGACATTTAATCAAATTTGATTTCTTTGTTGGTTTAGCTATGTTTGAGCCTCCTGTGCACTTTCTGAAATGGATGGTCCTTATTTTTTTTCCCCAGGGTGCAACTGAATGAAGCACAAGATGAAATCATGAAGAAGAAAGAGCTGTTGGAGGACCTCCAGCCAGATGCTACTCAAACCAGTTAGCCTTTAACTTTCGACCTGACCCTATATTTTATCCCACATTGCTTTTCATGACCTCAGAAAAAGACTGAGTCACATACACCCACTCAAACCATCAACTTTATGTCAAACTGTAAACTTTGATGTCCATGATATAGAGTGATATTATGATCCTCTTTGAGTCTTTAAACTTTAAATCTTTAAAGTTCCTCTCAGTTTTAGAGATAAATGTCACTTTCAGGTGTGAAGATGGATGAGCTGGTTGCAGCACTGAAGAAGAAAGATGAGGACATGAGAGAGATGGAGGATCGATACAAGATGTACCTGGAGAAAGCCCGTGATGTACTTGCATTAACTTCAGCTCTAAAATACATAGCCTGCTTTACCACTGACTGTCTTATGCTCTGGTCTGTTACAGTTTTATAGGCATTTTGAAGTCCTCTATATTTTCATGTTATTGAATCATGTAAAACTTGATATATTCTGTCATACTCTGCATATTAAATAACTACAGGTTTAACCAGCCAATATATGCATTCTTGCGTAATTTTAAGCTCTTTTACATGCCTTATTATAACAGAGTTATTACTCATAAATTACATCATATTGTGCATTTCCAAGGTGATTCGAGCTCTGGATCCCAAGCTAAATCCAGCCTCAGCAGAGATTCAGTCACTGAAAGCGCAGCTCTCTGAGAAAGAGAAGAAGATCATTGCTCTGGAGGTAGAGCAGCCATCTCTTCTCTGTTTTACATGTTATTTACATCTAGCAATTTCAGATTTACTTTCTCACTCACAATTGAATTATTTTTGTTGTTTCTTTCTTTTTTCACTCATATCCTTTCTCATCTTCTCTTCTTTACTCAGCGGGAGTGTGAGCAGGCCAAACTGAGGGAATATGAGGAGAAGTTAACTGTGACAGCTTGGTATAATAAGGTACAGTGACAGGACTCAATAGTTTACAAAGTACAGTGTAAATTAAATATGCTGTTATTTATTTATTTATTCGATTTAAGATTCTGTAAGCCATTTATTTGTTTGTATATTTCAATTTAAGGTGCTGCAATTAAAGATGATATAAAAATTATTTATTTATGCATGTATGTGTTTGTTGTTATTTTATTTAAAGGGACAGTTCACCCAAAAACAAAAATTGTCATAATTTACATTACCCTCTTATTGTTCCAGACCTGTAAGAGTTTCTTTGTTCTGCTGAACCCAAAGAATCTATTTTGAAGAATGTTTGTAACCAAACAGTTGAAAGTCGCTATAGACATATATTGGCGATATTGGCTACCAACATTCTTCAAAATAGCTTCTTTTGTGTTCAACAGAACACAAAAACTCTTACAGGTTTGAAGCAAGTAAAAGGTGAGTAAATGATGACATAATTCATTTTTGGGTGAACTATCCCTTTATGGAATGTCACTTAAAAATGTCCCTATTAGTTGATAGTTTAAATTGAAATAAATGTCTTGAAATATCTAAAACTTTAAAAGAAACAGTCTGCAGTAATTTGCTTACGTTCTGGAATTTTCTTTTGTCATTTTGTGCAAAACACAGAGTTTGAACTTCCAGAAGATGTCAATCGAGTCACGGCTTAGCGGGCGATCCAACTCTCTAGTGCCACCTGGCCAGTCCTTCCTGGCTCAGCAACGTCGGGTGACCAACGCGCGGCGTACCATGTCCATCAACGTGCCTGCCACTTCTTCCAAGTAACCTTGTCCTCAGTACCTCCCAGCTTCCTGCTCTTCTCCTTCTTTCCCTCACATGTACACTCAAGTGACCTTAAGTACACTTCTAAACAAGGGGACAAGCCTGCCATGATGAACATTAGCATGTCCCCATGTGATCACTCTCTACAGTTACACATGTATAATAATGTACATAAGGGGCTGAACTCTGATGAAAGTTACTCAGTCAGCACACAATTATGTACAGTTTTCACTTTCAGTACTAAACACGCACCTGTAACAGTCTGCAGCAGGGTCACTTCTGAACCAGCATCCATACTAAAGGTCACAGGTCAATCTTTTGTCAGGCTCACGCAGATTGTGCGGGAAGAAATGCATTTAATGCGTCCTGTAATGGTAGCATGCATGCTTTTGCTAGAGATGACTTCCAACGATACACTATGCAGTAATGCAGCCGTGGAATATATTTGTAATCGCGCAGGTATGTTATATAAAACATTAAAAGTATATGCAGACTGCACATTTTGCCCTAGCCAATCAAAATCCGTCGATCAGGATGATAATGTATTTGGTGCTGGACACCAAAGTTCTTAGTTTGTTCCTATTACAGTGACTTTCTCAAACAACAACAACAACATGCATTGAAACTACATTAATGTATACATTAAAAAGACATGCATATAATCACTCTAATTGATTAAATCTGAATCCAGGTGCTTCATTCAGTCGGTTATGGTATTTTATATTCAGTTGACTGTGATAGGACTCTTGCATGCTCTTTTAACAAGCAGAAGGGCCTTTTTTATCCACTTAATGTTTCCTGTCTGTGTGAAGACCTCAAGTATCAGGATTTGAACACCAGCACAGAATTATTGGAGGCCATAGCAAACTGCTGTGACGGCTTTGAATGTGTTGTACGCCATTCTTTAAATATACATGCGTGACTTGTAAAACATAGCTGCATTGTGAAATGGCTTTTGCTGTATTGTGAAAATCTGCTCCTGCTTAGGTTGACCCGACTGAGCTATCTGCTAATAGACTAGCTGTTGCATTTCAAATAAAAAACAATCTGTTTATGTTGGGAGATGCAGTACTCTTAATTCCGTTTTAAATGGTAAGGTTAATCATTGCTGTTCTGATTTGTCTTTTCTGGTGTTTTATTCAACTAGGCTTTTTGGCCTGTGATGGGTAAATGCTAATATTTTTTCAAATGCTAATATTTATGTATGATGTGTTCCAAGGAAGAACTCTTAAATTTGTGTACTCAATTTTATGAGCACTGCCATTGTTTGTGAGAGATGATAAATAATAAGATTGGATTCATATGGTATTAGAGTAATATTTGGAGTTAAAGAGCACTTCATTTACTTCATAAGAGCAGCCTTCATTTACATGTGATGAATAAACACTCTAAAGTTTGTTTTGCAATACGGCCTTCTTGCGTTTTAATGATCCCAAGGTTGAAGTTTTTACTCAAGTCTCACCACTAGATGGCGACTAATTTAAACATTTCCCGCTACGTGTCACTAATGGTGCTGAATTTACACACAGTTTTTAAAGATCTCAGATTTTATTTAATTTGAATAAATGAAATATATGAAAACAAAAAACTTTATATGTTATATTTTGCACGGGTAGCATTTGCCTTCACATGAATACACAATAAAATGCTTGTTTTAATGATCTGAAATCCAGCCAATACAAATGGATGATGCAATATTTCCTCGGCCTTGAGAGGGCACACAAAAAATTCAACACAAACAAATTGTGACAATATAGATTTCAACATTGTTTATTATCACAGCAAAATCTTGCTTATGTTTGCTGACTAATATCTTTCTCTATGCATTATCTGTCACCTTAAAATCTTGAACTTCATCCCCTTCATCTGAAATCAGTGCCAACAGCTAGATCATTCTATAATGTTTAACTTGTCACAATGGCCTTTTCTCTATTTTTTTCTAGGGCAATGTTCATCCAACACGATTCGTTTTTGTAAACTAGGCATTACTAAGCAGGTTTTTGCAGGTTTGATATGGGAACTAAAGATGCATTCTCTCACACCCCGTTAATCAAACAAGAAGTGAGTCGGCAAAAGAAAGGCCATAATCTCCACTGATCTGTTTTCTTAGACATGTTAAATGTAATATTAATTAATTTGTATTATATCTTTTTTTATAATATAGAATTATTGCTATAAAAGAATTCTCATAGTGAGTATGGTTTGTTCAGCGTGTCGTTGCATGGATCTTGAAGGGGTGTGGGGTGCGTGTTACTCCTATCACTCCATCAAGGTTGAGTTTCTCACCCTCTGCAGCTGAAAATCGAAATTTTCTGAATAAAATGACAAAGAACAGGAAGAGTTCCATTCTAGCGAGCTGCTCCCCCAGACAGACCCTCTTTCCTGTGAGAGAGACAGAGGGGAGATGTTAATGTAAATAAGCTTTTTTATTATTATTATTATTGAAAAAAAGGATTTTGCTCACCAAGGCTGCATTTATTTGATCAAAATACAGTAAAAACGGTAATATTGTGAAATATTTTTAGAATTTAATAATTAATAATTTAAGCATTCATTACTTCAGTCTTCAGTTTCACATGATCCTTCAGAAGTCATTCTAATATGACAATTTGACAATTTTGGACGATATTGTGCTGCTTAATATTTTTGTGGAAACTGCAATAAATTTTTTAGGATTCCTTGGTGAATAGAGAGTTCAAAAGAACTTTGTTTATTTTAAATAGAAACTTTTGTAACAATATAAAAGTATTTAATGTCACTCTGATTAATTTAATGCATTCTTTCTGAATAAAAGTATACTTTTTTTTTTTTTTAAACAAAAAACCTTACCCCAAACCTTTGAATGGTAGTGTAAATAATTCATAATAAAGTCTCTTTTTGTACTTCTGTTTTCACTTTACCTGCAGAAAAGGCCATGAATGCGTCCCGCCTCACAAACTTGCCCTCTTTGTCTAAAAAGTGCCCAGGATTAAACTTGTAGGGTGTCTCCCATTCATTCTCATCAAAGAGAACAGAGTGCAATATGGGTAAAATTGCTGTACCCTGGTTGAAACAATAAAATAGGAAGAGTTAGATTTCATAATTTAGACAAATTATCACATTGATCCCTTTCAGAGGGAACCATTTTTTGACAATCAGCCAAATGAATCTCTTTTGGTATTGATATTATTTTTACAATAGCAAGATAGAAAGTTAGCTAAATAAATGAACAGAGTATCACTCACCTTTGGGATGAAGCACTCTCCAATGCTTGTGTCTTTGTCAGCCACCCGCAAGCCATTCATTGGTACAATGTCTCCGAATCTCAGCATCTCATGGATGACAGCCTCAGTGTAGGGCATGTTGGCCTTGTCGGATATACTCGGCTCCCTTGAGCGTCCAATCACTCTGTCAATCTCCTCCTGGACTTTTTCTACAATTAATACCATCAATTCAAATGTCAGTTATCTATGGATTATGCATAGATTCTTTGTAGAGTGTATTTTTCACCTTGTACTTCTGGGTAAGTGATGAGGTATATGAGACCCCAACATAATGTGGTGGATGTAGTTTCGGTCCCGGCTAGAAACAGGTCTAGAACACATGGAACGATGTTCTCTTCATCAAAACCATCTGTTGTTTCATGTGGCTTCTGTTCAGGGATGGAAGACGTAAAATTTAAAGTAAAGTTGCTGTATTCCTACAAATAAATGCAAGTGAAAGAGGCTAGTTTGAAGTTCTCCTGTCATTTTAATAGTTGTATTACTTGCATCATCTCAATAAGGAAGCTGTCAATGTAGTCCCGAGGCTCTGAGGGATCCAGTTCGGCCTTGTGTTTGACAACAACCTCTTTAACGAAGGCTTGCAATAATTTGTAGTTACTAAACATGTCATTGTGCGCCCCAGGAAGATGCTTCATAATGGCTGGAAATGCTTCATAGAGCTGAAGGAAAAACATTTGTATTTACTCATGTGTCTGTATTGGTGCTGCATGACCAGAATTAATCTTGAATAGATATTTGAAGGAATAGTTCACCCAAAAATAAAAAATTGCTCAAGATTTACCCAACCTCAAGTCATCCAAGATGTACTGTAGATGAGTTTGTTTCTTCAGAACAGATTTGGAGAAAATTGCTCACCAATGGATCCTTCTGAAGGCACCCATTCCCTGCAGAGGATCTATTTGGAAGCACATGCTATACTGCTACATTTCTCCAAATCTGTTCTGATGAAGAAACAAACTCATCTACATCTTAGATGACCTAAGGGTGAGCAGATTTTCATTTCTGAGTGAGCTATTTCTTTAAAATTATTTATTTCATTACCTGACCCCAAATGGAGCCCTCTAATTGAATGCTTTTAGATATATATTTTAGCATTGTCCTGAATTGGTGGTCTGCATAATCAAATCTCTGGCCGAACACCATTTGACAGATGATATTGGAAACAGCATTGTTGAACAGGATTGTTGGGTCAAAAGCAGCTCCTGAGAAGGACAAAAAGTAAATGAGTCCTGTTATTTACCTTAAATGGATTCTTATATACACGCAAACCAGGTATTGTGTACCTTTCTGTTTGTCAATCTCATCTAGCAAGAAGCGGCTCTCTTCACAGATGGCCAGCTCCATTGTTTTCTTTCCCAACCCAAAGTTCCTCAGTGTTGACAGAGCAAAGCGCCGTTGTTTCTTCCACATTTCACCATTACTGAAGAAGAGTCCAGCTGTCCAGACACAAATAATCAGTACATAATCGTGTTCCATTGGAGACTAAAACTTTTTTTTCCCAACAAACAATCAGTGAAAGTATGTACGTAAACTTCAGAAGATGATAATCGTCATTTCCTGGAGCTTGATCTAAATATTATATGAGCTGTGTTATTTTCTGTTCATTTTATGTAAGACAATTTTTTTGCAACCTTTTACCAAGCTGTAGGACAAGTCTGAACAGTTTGGGACAGTTATAAATACTTTTTTAAATATTTATTTTAGAAATAAATAACAGCTCCAAATGATGTAACTACTTGAGTTTCACAATTTAAAGGAATGTTTATCTTATGTTAATAAAGGGGGCTTGCTTCTCCAGATTCACAATAAACAATGCTTTTTGCTGAACTCTTTTGATAGGTCATAACCATTTGACCTACCATTGCCCGAATAGACTCGTGATTGCACTGGACTGTAGGGCCGATCCACAAAATTTTCAGCTTGAGTCACCAGGGCCTCCTTCACCAGTTTATAACCAGTGATGAAGACCACTTTGTCTCTTCCTAATCGCAGACTGAATATATTGTTGTAGGCGTGGCCTAGCTGTGAGGAAAACAACATTTCAGAACTAATGCAAATCGTTGGGTTCAAAAATATTTTTTGTCCGCAAACTGCAAGCATAATCTAAAAGACATGCACCATTTTAACAACTGTTATGAAATTATACGTTTTTATATACAAGTAAGTGTGTATTAAGTAAAAGCGATATCCACTATCATGCATCGTATCTCTCTTTTTTTTTATTTTCTTAGATTTTAACAGAGTCCTGTCCTGTCAACCCAGAAGTGTCAATATTGTCTGCTCACCTTTGTCAGATATATATGTGGCTCCTTGGAATCAAGGTTGAAGACATTTCCTAGGAGCGGAAGAGAGAAAGGGCTGGGTGGGTAATTCAGTGGGTTTCTGTTCTTCACGTAGTCTGCCACCAAGAGAAAAGCCACTACGAAGAGCAGTAGTCCCTTAAAATCAAGAATCTCGAGAATTGCAGTTAACGCCATGACAGGCGAAGAAGGAAAATGCGAGGTTTGCAGAATGTATGTTGAACAGGCAGCCTTTGTCCATCTGTTCAGCCTGCCACTCCCCTCACATCTGGCTCAATAGCTGTAACAGAAAATGAACTCTGAGTTAGACAAGATCTTGATGGATTAGATTTCTCTTGTTGTGTGAGAAATGAGTGAGTGTCAAATGTATGTCAGCTAATATGTTCATCAATTTTAACAGGAAGTCTTCCTCAGATCGAGTTATTGAGTGAGACGAGCAGTGAGGTGGACTGTTGGAGTTTATGAAAGTGAAAGTGACGTGACATGTGGCACTCCCCCCACCTACAACCCCTGCCGGTACAAGACTCGAACCCGCAACCTTTGGGTTACGAGTCCGACTCTCTAACCATACGTTCATTTTTATGCCTTGCAGGTTAATTTTTAACTGACCTTGACTTTTGCCATAGTGTTAATGATTGAATCCTCCTCACTCCCACACATTCATCCAGTGCTATATTTGCTCGTTGGTTTATTTATTTATTTATTTAAATTAAAAAAAAATAATTTACATAACACTAAGCCAAACACCAAAAAAACAACGTACATGTTGTTTGTACACATACACACACACACACACACACATATATATATATATACTGTATATATATATATATATATATACACATTTATAAATTCAATATATATATTATTTCATTTCCATTTAGTTTGTTGAAGTATTAAAATAACTCAAATTAAATAAAACTAAAACTTAACAAAAGACCTATACAGACATAATAAATTCAGACATAATTTAACTAAAATTAAAATAAATAACAAATACAAATAATACAAATCAAACGACAGTAGTTTATCAGTAATCCTAAAAAATAACACTGCCAAACTTACATGCTAAAAAACAACAACTTACACATAGTAAGAAATGGTTATAAAAACTGAAACAGAAGTGAAACAAGTAGTAGGAAAGAGGAGAAATAAAAAGCGATACTTACTTGGTTTGCAGTGTAAATAGGGGACAAACGATGTCAGTGCAAAACACATGAAGATTTTGTCTGTGGTTCAGTTTAGGAGGTTATGTTCATTGACAGATAATTCATTAAAATGTAAAATGGTGAATTAATAGCATACTGCTTTACTCAGTTCAGAAACCTGATAGCATATTTGAATAGAGGACAAGATTAGTATATGTCCAAAACACTTTCCATACAAAGCTATCACTGGGGCAGTGTCCAAAGGGACAAAAGATAAAAGGTACATTTTTGTACATTATTTACCCCTTAATATCAGTACCTTAAACGTACATATGATCACTTTAAAAGTACATATTAGTACCTGAAGTGTATATTAGTGCCTTTTTAAAGAGTACTGGCCAAATTTTTTTTTCTGAGAGTGTACATGGCATTGAATTCATGTTTTTGTTTAGATTTGAAAAGAAGGTAATAGAAAAATTGCAAAATCACAAAGATACATGACTCAATTCTTCAATACAGGTAGACAGGGTAAAGGTAAATAATAAAATGATAGAAACACAACTGTGTTCTGTGTGTTTGTATGTGTATATTTGTATGTATATGTATATATATGTATGATATATATAATATATATATACTGTATATATATATTATATTATGTATATATGTATATGTTTAATGTTTTGACAAAAGTCTCTTATGCCCACATAAAACATTAATTTGACATTTATTTGGTCAAAAACAGCAAATATAACATTAAACGTAATATAATAAAATAAAAAAAGCACACACACTAAGCAATCACAAAGAAGGGGGGAAACACCTAGTCATCCATGTACTGTATATCCATAATGTTTTAAAAGTTATGAATAATCAATAGATGTAGGAGGGAAAGTAATAATGCATAAAGCGGTAAACAGAGGTTCTAATAAAAGTTCCCACATTCTAACAAATGTTCTGTTTTCAGACAGAACTAATTCTTTCCATGTGTAGACTGGAGGAAAGTGTTTAAGGCCAGAGCACATTTTAGTACAGATCATAATCTATGTAGTGGTTGGACACACACACACAAAACCAGTAGTATTTGGAATTTCCAGGCATAATGTTCACTTTAAATGACTTTGTATTTGTTTGCATATGCAGTATTTGGGGTAACGCAAGTTATGTAATCAGATTACTTTTTTAAGTAACTAGTAAAGTAGCGCATTACTTTTTAATTTAGAAGGAAATATCTGAATTACTTTTTCCAATAAGTAACTCCAGTTACTTTGTTTCCCATGACAGCTCTTGTGTTGCCATGTTGAGAGAAATCTAGTTTTAATCTAGTCTTAGTTCTAGACTAAATGTGAACATGCATTTACTCATCTCACCTGCACAAAAACAGATTCAGTATTCCTCAAACTGAATAAAAACAGACATGAATTTACATTTCCTTCAGCCTGAGGCATATTCATTTCACTTGGTGTGATAGGGCTTTTACATTTGTAAAATACATTTTTTATATTAAAAACAAACAAGCAAGCCCTGCCCAGATTTAAAATGTAACTCAAAAGTAACGAAACGCATTACTTTCCATAAAAAGTAGACTAAGTAATGTAATTAGTTACTTTTTTAGGAAGTAACACAGTATTGTAATGCATTACTTTTTAAAGTAACTTTCCTCAAGCATATGCTGTGGGTGATACTTCTCGCATAGAAGTTGCTATACTGCATACACTCATCCTCAGCAGGATTTGGAACCCTTTATCTCGGATGAGCACAGAGCTTGTATGGCAAAGGGGCTTGTGTGAAGCCCACCTGGCTCTCCAGACTGAGCTCCTCACCAGGAGGAGGGAAGTAAGATGAACAGCTCCATGTGAGCCAGGTGCTCTCCCGGACACTGCCTTTTGCCTGTCAATCCATCACAGTTGAATTACTTGGCTGAAATACATATTTTGCTGTCATTTGTTTTACAGGTATGGTTTAAAATGGATTAAGGTACAGCAGAATTAGGCAATGGATGAACTGTACCTGCTGAGAAGGCGAAGGCATTTCTCCTCAGAACTGGCCTTCAGAATCTAGAAAGTGTCCAGGGTTAAAAGTGTCTGGTGTTTCCCATTCATGTTTGTCATACAGCACTGATGTCAGATTAGTGATCATCACAGTCCCCTTAGTACAGTACAGAAAGTGGTCATAATAATAGTGTTATTCAAAACTAATAAAATATATTAGTATTATTTTATATGTATAATATTTACAATAAAAATGTAATAATATAAAATAAAAAGAAAAGAAAATTTTAAAACGTTAAACAATAAACATAATATGCTTCTTTTACCTTTGGTATAAAATAGCCTCCCAGAGTTGTGTTCTTTCTCGCAGTTCTAGCCATATTTAGAGGCACAAGGTTTGGTTTTCTGAGAACCTCATGAATAAAAGCATTGATGTAATGCATGTTTGCCTTATCGAACATAGTAGGTGGACGGGAGCCAATCACCTGGTCAATCTCTGCTCTGACCTTCTCTAGTTAAGGAAACATTTTGAGAACATTGTCAAGATACAACAATGCACAATAACTAGTAAAGCTGTTTTGTCTGTTTTTACTGTTGGTGTTACTTAAGTACATAATATTATTGTACCTTGAATATCAGGGTACTTGATCATGTAAAGCAGAGCCCATCGGAGTGTGTTGGTCGTTGTTTCAGTTCCGCCCTCAAACAAGTCTACCGTGCACCACACCAGACTGTCAATGTTAAACCCTGCCTCGGTGTCATTCTTCCTCTAAGGCCCCAAATGAAGCACAAGGACATGAATCAAGAATTCAGTTAATTCAGTAATATTCTTGGGTACATCACCTGCTGTTGATGCAGAGCTCCAAATTATGTTACTATGTTTTACCTTCTCTGTTTCTGTCAGGTAGGCATCAATATAATCTCTGGGATTGTTGCTGTCCCAGTCTTGTCTGTGCTGCTCAACCTTTTCTTTCAGGAAGTAGGCTAACTCCTGATAGTTTGAGATTATTGTCTGATGAGGTCCTGGCAACCATTTCATTATACCTGGGAAGGCATCATGTAGCTTAAAAAAAAAAAATAAACCTTGAAAGCTTTGTTAAAATGATGAGTAATCTCCATTGTAATACTGTGCTTCAAGCTTTGATGTTTTGTACACCCATATTTTAACAAAAGCATTCACTCAACACAAGTGTTATAATATGTGAAAGTATTTAAGTGCTCTTTTAAATGTTGTATTTTCAATGGACGCTACCTGGTTCCACACAGATCCTGTAAGAAACACTGACTCTGCGCTCATTTGTAGAAGCTTCTGGAAATCAACATCATCATACTCATATCGATGGCCGAACAACAGGCTACCAATAACATTAGCCACTGCGTTGTTTGACCAGAGGGTTAAATGGGCAGCCTGCGTGACGAGGTAAAAACAATGACAGAATCATGAATATTTGCTGAATATTTTGGTATAAGACACTACAGAAAAGTTTTTTGAAATGATATACTGTAGGCTAGTGAAAACTGTTCTGCATATTAAAGTGTGATTACACTCTTAAAACAAAGATTCCAAAAAGGGGTTTTCACGGTGATGCCTTAGAAGAACAGTTTTGGCTTCCCCAAAGAACCGTGCAGTGAACAGTTCTCAAAAGAACAATGTTGTTATTAGATTAAAGTACATTTCAATAATCTAAAGAACCGTTTTCCAGTATAAAAAGACCTTTTGTGCATTGGAAGGGTTCCATGGATGTTAAAGGTTCCTCGTGGAACATAGATTCAATAAAAAACTGTAGATGCATTCTTACCCTGCTCTTCTTTAAAGGCTCCACACAGGAAGTAGCACTCTCACTGAATATGTTTTTCTAGAGTCTTCCTCCCATCTCCAACGTTTTTCAGGTGACTCATGGAAAACTGCTGTTGTTTCCTCCATGAGTAGCCATTGTTAAAGGACAATCCTTTCTCGGTCAGGGGTCGGCGTCAAAGACAATGGAAGAAAATTGTGTTTAGACCTGCTGTACAATCAGTGAGGATGATTTTGTTCTATACTCAAAATTATTTGCATCAATAATTTGCACCTATTGAGCAAGAACACTTTGCTTATCTGCAATTAAGCTATATACTTTATAGCAATAAACACCAATTATCCTGCTACTTTCATTCCATATATACAGCAGCTGTTTTGTAAACAAACATTTTGAGTTTCCTTTGTTCGCCTTATTACAGTCACTTACCTCTGCCTTTATAAAGTGTGTCAAATAAAGGAGAAACAGGGCGGTCAGTGAAGGTTTCCCCTTGAGTGATCAAAACATCCTTCACCATTTTAAATACCTTGCTACATGTACTGCGTTAGGCTAGCCGAGACTTGTCATTTGCTCTTATATATTGTTGCTCTTTTGACTTACGCTTTGACTGCTTTTATTGCCTCATTTGTAAGTCGCTTTGGATAAAAGCGTCTGCTAAATGACTAAATGTAAATGTAAACGTAATGAGTGCCTCACCTGGTCTACAGTTTTATAGATAAAATCAGTGAAGACATTTCCTAGGATGGGTAGCGGCCAGGGTCCTGGTGGAAAATTTGCTGGATTTTTATGTCTGATCAAATCTATAAGCAGCAGCAGTAAACAAATCAAAAACAAAAAGCTTTTAAAATCCAGGCACTCATATAGGGAATATAAAATCATGGCTGATTCTATGGGCAGCCGACTCCTCTGAAGTAAACCGACTTATTTTAGTCAGGCTGTTGTGAATAGGGTGTGTGTGAGAAAGTACACATTCACTGTTTATCTGAAAAGAGAGAATTAATGTGGGTCTCAGCAACAAGGGGCCAAACGAGCAGTGTGGGAGTCATTATTTAACCCTGTTATGTAATCAGTGTTTGTAGTTCATGCTATAGTTTCCAACAAAAACAGAGCCCCAATTCAGCCTCTGTGTGAACCTTCTACATTCCGAAAGAATCTCTACCAGGAACAGGTCATAAATAATGACTGAACTACATAGTTGAGCTACATGAGACTGAAGAGATAAGCCATATGCACACTATGCAGACAGCAGATAAGAACATCTGTGCAATCGTGACAATGCTAAAGTGTTTTAGTTGGACAACATGTTTCTTAATGCATATAACACTACAGCTACAACATAATATAAATGTGTGTAATGTATGAATGCTTATGGACACTTGCCTCCATAGGGTCTTTGTTCCTAAATGAATAAGTAGTCTAGTGGGGTTGGGGAGGTAATAAGACACCTTGTTTTGCTCTCTTCCTCTTATTGTATTATGTTGTGAAATGTACTACAGGCCTAATACGTGCTGCTCCATTTTCAGTCTGAGAGGTTTGTAAGTGTAAACTTTATCACACTTTTTAACACTGGGGACAATTAATACACTGTAAGAAAAGATTTTTAAATAAAGGAAGGGAGTAGAAAAAGTCTGAAAATACTATTTCAGTCTTTCTTCTTACACATTTAATTAAATGTGTTACTTGCCATTTCTTTGTAATTATTTGTGAAATGTACTAGCAATTTTTGAGCGGAAATCGTTTCTACACTATTTTTTTTTTTATTCAGTAGCTAGTGTTGACTGATCAAATAAACTCATTAAAAAGGGACAAATGAATGCAGACCTCATGCATATCAGAGAGGGACATTTGTCCTATAAGCACACAGACTGAATCTAAAAAGGGATTTTGTCCCTGCTTATGTGTGTAGTCTGTACACTCAGTGTTTGAGACTACAAAAGGACAGGCCTTTATGGTTCTGGGGCCCCAGCAAGTTACACAATACCCCAGCTGTTGTTAGTAATGAATCTGTGACTGTGAAACATTCCTTTACTCTGTTGTAGTTAAAGTAACTCTAAGAATTTGCCTTTTTAAAATGAAACTGTTCTATTTATCGATATTTATCTATTTAAAAAAATTTATGAGATATTTCATGTGACAAATTTTCTACCAGTGTAATTTATTTAAATGACAAATATGATTATTTACACGACAAATATGATTATTTACACATCTGTAAATCATTTATAGTGCATTAATACAGGTATCAATACATGTACATTTTGTACATCAAAATCATTCATACATGTACTGATACATTTACATTAATACATTAAACTCATGTTTACAACATTGCAACAATATTGCGTTTTGAAAAAGGTGGAAATGATAATCATCCAGAAACACATATCAGAAAGCATACTTTATATCTAATCTTACTGACTTTGTATTGTTCTAACGTGAGGACACGCACATACGGTATGGAGAAGGAACATTTGTGAACCATATCTCTCCCTCCAAACTGGGTTCCTCTCCTGGACATTTGGTGATGGTGAATTGCTGCAGCAGAGAGGTGAAGAAGAGGAAGATCACCTGACGAGCCAGCTGCTCTCCCAAACACGCTCGCTTACCTGTGAGCAGAAACCACTCATTGTTTTTGGTGGCAGAAAAAATTACACTGATTAAATTATACATTATTGCACTAGTTTTTCATTCATTTATAAAAGCATACTGCCCTTTTAATTCATTTAACAGGTAGTTAGGTACATCAAGTTTCAAAAGTGTGTGCTAGTTTTGTTCTTCTGTACTTGTCCACAAAAAGATAATTACAAGCAAATCACAGAAGTCTGTTATTTGCTTATAGTTTGAAAACATAGTCTGATGGGGGCCAGGTAAGTATTCCAAGAGCCAAGGACAGACATTATACAGCTGTGAATGATGACATAGGCTAGTTAATGGTTAATACAGATTTTTAATCATAATTAACTAACAGGTTATGAAAGTAGTGTCTAAGGATGCTGTTATGAATCAGTACCTGTGCTCTAGGAGAGCCCATTAACTGAATGCATTCATTGTCAAGACGCAGGATTCTTTGATAATATTCATCATGATAGTCAAAGCGTTGTCCAAATATCAAACAGGCAACAGTATTTGAGACAGCACCATTTAAGATGGTCATAGGGTTGAAAGGTCCTGTTTGGGAGAAACCATGGATATTTCTTAATTTGCAAACTGTTTTCATTCTTCTCTGCCCCAATGAACTAAAATTCTCCAGTTAGTGAGACATTTACACCATACCCTTTTCTGTCTTAAAGGCATCACAAAGGTAGACAGACTCTTGCTGGATGCTGAGCTCAAGGATTTTCTTCTCCTCTCCAAACATCCGCAAATGGAGGCCACCAAACTTCCTATGTGTCCGCCACCGGTATCCATTACTCATTGCTAAACCTTCATAATGCCATAAAGATTAAACTTGATTATCAGTAAAAAATCACCAGCTCCATTTGAGAATAAAATTGGTTTAATTTTAGCCATAAAGGTTGAAAAATGTAACTTGTGGTTAGTATACATACCAGCTCCCTTATAAACTTTGTGAAACAGAGGGACATTTGGACGCTCAACAAAACTGTCATTCTGAGTAACGAGGGCCTCCTTTACCATTTTATATCCCGACACGACTACCATTTTCTCACTGCCCACTCTTAAGCTGAATATGTTCCCGTAGACTTCAGCCAACTGAAATTGAAAATATTTATTTTAATTTGTTTATATCAATTAGGAACATTAATAGTTAAAATATTTTCCAGTCCAGAAACAGGACAATTAATTAAACCATCTCTAAAAGCTGAAAGATTTGACAATAAACTAACAGACATGCAAAAAAAAAAAAAGAAAAGCATATGAATTTAGCTCCCACCTTATTCATGGTCCTAAAATCCATCTTAGTGAAGACAGTTCCCAGGAATGGCAGAGGCCATGGTCCTGGAGGGAAATTGGAAGGATTCCTATTTTTGATAATATCAGCAAGGAGCAGAAATACAAAAAACAAAATGATCCAGCTTTTAAAATCAAAGCTGTCATAGATCAAGTGCAGGATCATTGTGGTAGAGGAAATGACAGGTTCCCTTTGTCTTATTTGCACTCAGTGGTCTGTATTTATACAAGTACTTTTGTACAGAACTGGGAAATGTAAATACTGGAGGGGAGGAGTAGAGAGATATTACATATTACATAAGGCACTCCAGATTCCATGAAGTTGGAGAACAGAACCCTATGGAAACACATTTATCAAAGTAAAAGTTTAAAGATAAGAACAAGTTATTGCAAAGACATGGGCAACATCACAGTTCTGCCTGACATGTCTACATTTGCTCTGGAGGTTTTTCAAACTTCATATTTTCTTTCTGCAGCTTTAATCATACATGTATATATAGCAATTGACTGTTCTTTATCTTTTTTCATATACATTGAATGAATAAGTAGTTGATAAATTTGGGGAGGTAATAAGACACCCTTGTTTTGCGCTCTTCCTCTTATTCTCTCAAGAGATGTTGTGAAATGTAGTACAGGCCTAATACGTGCTGCTCCATTTTCAGTCTGAGAGGTTTGTAAGTGTAAACTTTATCACACTTTTTAACACTGGGTGCAATTAATACTTCAAAAATTCTACTTTAAAATTTCAGTAGCAAGGGTTGATTAAACAAACAAACTCGTTAAAAAGGGACAAATTAATGCCAACCTCCTGCACATCAGGAATGGACATTTGCCCTATAAGTACACACACTGAATCTAAAAAGGGAGTTTGCCCCTCCTGTGTGTAGTCTGTACACGCAGTGTTTGAGACTACAAAAGGACAGGCCTTTATGGTTCTGGGGCCTCAGCAAGTTACACAATACCCCAGCTGTTGTTAGTAATGAATCTGTGACTGTGAAACATATCACTTTCAAAATGATTTTTTTCCAGCTGATGAACGATAAAAAAAAAAAATTTGACAGCCAATCAGAATCCATCCTGCTGTAACGAGTTTGAGAATAAACAGACGATATCATTCGCTGGTGTGGACGCTAATATCGTTATCTTTATAGTTATCGTTCTTGGTGTGAACGGGGCTTAAGAATTTGCCTTTTTTTTTAAAAAATGAAACAGTTCTATTTATCTATATTTATCTATTTTTAAAAAAAGAGATATTTCATGTGATAAATTTTCAACCAGTGTCATTTATTTACATGACAAATATGATTTACACATCTGTAAATCATTTACATAGGCCTTAATGCATTAATACATGTATAAATACATGTACATTTTATACATCAATATCATTACATACACTGATACATTTATATTTTAAAACCAAGTTTGCAACATTGCAACAATGTTGTATTTTGCAAAATGTGGAAATAATGCTAGCATAAAAGAATTGTAACTGACTTTTGGTCTAACGTGAGGACACACGCATATACGGTTGGAGCAGGAGCATATGTGAACCATATCTCTCCCTCCAAACTGGGTTCCTCTCCTGGACATTTGGTGACGGTGAATTGCTGCAGCAGAGAGGTGAAGAAGAGGAAGATCACCTGACGAGCCAGCTGCTCTCCCAAACACGCTCGCTTACCTGTGAGCAGATGCCGTAATGCAAAATTAAAAATCACATTGTGGCATTAACAACAGAAAACTTGACAAGTAACATACTAGAAGTATGATGACATTATATTAATCAAGGTACATTTTTTTCAACAGCCTCACATGACAGAAGTTCAGCTGTTTTAAGTAATGTAGTAATATTTTCCAGTAACAAGCTATGAGTATAAGAGTATAACGAGAAGCACGAGCAAGACTGATTTTATTATCTGACAAACACGTTCACCAAAATGCTCATCTCTCACTGTAGTGAAATCTAATTAATTACTGAATCAGTACATCCTAAAAATGTCCTCTCTCGCATGTAGTTTTATGAAGTCCAATTCATCAAGTCAGTTAATCCTAAATATCCTTTCTCATTTGAAGCATTGTAAAGTCAAAGAAAAACAATTCACCAATTTCACTGACTTGGTTATGTAAATGTAGTTGTTTTGTTGTATAATGTAGCACGCCCGCCGTCCGACTGGTGGTGCTGCAGTACGTTTTCTGTTTAAATAAACAAAGAGAGACACAGTTGTGCTGCTTTCAGTCATGGAGTCGCTCTTGTAATGCTTTATGACAATAATTCAATGATTGTATAATTAAATCACAATGTCTTAAGTCAACGAATGTATTCACTTGTTACAAAAACTGATTTGGCTTTATTAAAATGTGTGCATAATCTACTCATTAAATAAATAAAGTCTAAAGTTGTTCAGATGACCAAAACACAAGGTTTTCTTGCATAATGAACATTTTAATTGTTTGGTCAGACAATTACACATTCATAAATCGGGGATTAATGTTCTGTATGCTAAATATGAATATATAAACAAGCGTATGTGGACAGTACCTATAAATGCGCTTTGCATCTGCTTTCTGCTGATTGCTGATGAGATTGACATGCTAAATGGCCGACTGACCAGGTACACTCTCATTCAGTTCGTTCACGAACGACATGTACCAGTTCAGTCATTTCATTCACGAACAGAAGATCTCTCGATTTCGTTCAGACTCAAAAGAAACTCGTTCAGTGAATGGCGTATTCGTTTACTACATTCAACAAATCACATGCTCCGTCACATCTCAAACTCGAAGGCTATTGGCTCGAGGTTTAGTCATTCTTTGACAGGATGAAACAGTCCACAGAGCTACCCGGTTCACCGAGCTGCGCATGCGCTGCCAATAGCGCCGCGCAGCCCTGGAGGGAGGAATTTCAGTGAACGAGAAATATGAGTCAATGGATTACGTGAACGAGAACGATTCGTTCACCTAAAAGATTCGTCCAAAAAGAACGATTCGTTCACGAACGAAACATCACTAATAAATATATGCTGCGCGCTTTCCTCTAAATAACGAAATAAACACAATAAAAACTGACAGCGGTGAGAAATGTTACACGAGCTCTGCAATTTAGTACTCCAGTAAAGTCCAGTCACGTCAAGTTTATTTATATAGTACTTTATGCAATAAATAGCCTTAAATCAAGCAGCTTTACACAATATTAAATATGAAAAACCAGAGTCAGTGTCGCTTTCAGTTAGAATTTCAACCTGATTTTATGTTTGATTATCATAACCCTATACTGTATTTTAAGAGAGATTATGTTGTGAATAAAATCGCTTTTATCACTTAGCTAAAATCACTTACATTCTCCAGCAGAATTTCATTGCATGGACATGTGTAATGACAATAAAGATATAACATAACATAACAACATACAACATTTATTTTGTTTCTTATTCATATGACTTACAAAAAGAGATGTTAGGCAGAATGATGTCATTCAGTTACTTTTTCATTTAGCTAATTAAATGGTATATGTTTCTCTGTCATCTCATTTTGTGTGCCAAATATATTTATTTGTATAAATTAATTGTATAATTGTAATTACATAATATGACTTTCAAAATCTGAAGTGCTTACCTTTATTTATTTGTTAGAATATATATAGCTCAATATTTTAACTAACTGCAAAAGCTGAATAATCAATAAAAGTCTACTTATTAATCAGTGAAATAATCGATGATTAGTCGATTAATTGTTATAATAGTCGTTAGATTAATCGATTATCAAAATAATCGTTTGTTGCAGCCCTACATTACTTTGAGTATTCAGTGTGTTGGAGCCTCTAACCATTTGGATATTATTTTAACACCAGGCCTGACGCGGAACGTCCGCGAATGAAACGCCATTTTCATAAACACAAACACTGTCCCTTTTAAACATTTTAACTGGACTCGGACTCAGGAAATGTAGGCTATATTACCCTCCTGAAACAACATACACACGAAATCGACATTTTTTTATGTTTTATGTCCTTGGTGATCGATTTCACCCACCTGTTTAAATAAACAATGAGAGACACATGCTGCGTCTCAATGTGCCTACTTATACTACGCCCTTAAAGTATGTACTCTTTTGGTGAAGAAAAAGTACACACTTTTGAAGAAGAGTAGGCAAGCTTTGGGACATATTATCACGTCACACAATTGCGTCTTTAACGGATGCTCTGTCGCATAGATACACGCACCCTGTCACTGTAAACTGGCCTGTCAATCATCTTGTCACAGTTAACATCCTCCACATTGCATTTCATTTAACTTCCTACCGTATTGGAGAGAAAAGAAGTAGCACATTGATCTGCCAGTCGCGGGTCTTTCATGCCGAGAACTCTGCTCATATTTTATGCATAATGATGCATTTAAAAGTTAAAGACCAAACGGATGTAAAGTTTACATTGCTGTTGCAGATGAAATAACACAGATAACATTAAATAAATATTTTTTTTACCAGGTTAAATGTTGAATATTAGTAACTCAAACCCCTTTTTCTAAGCCTCTCTACCTAACCGCCGGTCACGCACATCCGCAATGTTTTTAACGCGTTTTTATTCGTGTTTGTAGTTCTGGACAGAATCCTTCACCAAACCGCAATGGATTGTGAACAATATTAGCCATTAGAGTGTGCACGGATCCACACTTCAAAAATCGACCTGAAATAGTAGCGTTAGACCAGTGGTTCCCAAACCTGTCCTGGAGGACCCCCTGCCCTGCACATTTTGTATGTCTCCCTAATCAGACACACCCAATTTAGTTCTTGCAGTCTCTACTAACGAGCTGATGAGTGGAATCAGGTGTGTTAGATAAGGGAGACATACAAAAGGTGCAGGGCAGGGGGGCCTCCAGGACAGGTTTGGGAACCACTGCGTTAGACCATCCGGAGACTTGTGGCATACTCTTTTCAACATACTATGCTTTGGGACACACTTATTCTAATCTCACATACTATTTAGGATGGATAGTATGAACATTGAGATGCAGGGCATGTGTGCACTTTAGTTTGTGTAGTAGACAAAACTGCGCAACTGATATTTAAACAGCAGTCTTTTTGCGGTTTAATGTTCACAAGTACTAGTCCATATCGCGATTTAATTAAGTGTACAGCCTTACTTTTGATCTATTCATAAAAAATTGCCAAATTCCATGACATTATGCGTGACACAGTACATTTTGGGGATTTCGTCATACAACCCTACAAGCAACATTCTGGCATCATGGAAGTGACTTTTGTCTGGGCAAGTACCACTCATATTTTCTTGAAAATATAAAACTCTAGTTAATTCTGTAGAGACTTTGGCTCTAATGTACTACAGCCATATCACTATGTATCTGTGAGCAGGTAATTAGTATCTGGTTGCTTGTCCTTTGTCACTAATTAAATAGATGATTAACTTTAAGAAATTAGCCAAACATTGCTTACGTACCTGTCATAGCAGATGGATTGATTGATGGCGTTTCTAATAAGATCTGGAAACACTAACTAAACAGCAGTCTCTTTTGAAAAATGTCAGCATAAACCAGCCTACGACACTTACTGGTTTAAAATGGTTGTCTAGCCTGACCAAGCAGGTGGTTTAGCTGGTTGACAAGCTTGTCCAAAACCTAGCTTGTTTAAACCAGCCAACAGACCTGCTTAGACTGGTTTAAGCTGTTTTTTCCAGCAGCATATGAATATTTTTAAAGTTGCAATGAAACTGAAGTAGTGACAGATCTTTTATTCTGTATTGTGACGTACATCCGTATGAAATGCCGTTTCCGCCACGGAATATTTACATATTTATCTCACAATTCTTTTCTCCTATTTCTGACTTTTTCCCGAGTTTATATCTTGCAATTCTCACTTTTCTACTCACAATTTTGAATTTACATCTCACAATTCTGTTTTTTTTTTTCTGTCATGGAATAAAAAATTAAAAAGTGAATTACTACTTTTTATCTCACAATTCTG